CAGGCGGGTCTCGAACCCGCGGGCTCAGGCAATCCACTCACCTCAACCTCCCAAAGGCGCTGGATTACAGGCTGAGACACCGAGCCCGGCTAATTTCACTTTTTAAACACGATTCCCAGAAATCAGAAAATGACACCTGGGGCTTATTTTCTACCTCTGGAAGGGTGCTAGTTTACGATACGGATCTAAAACCTAAGCACTCTAATGCCATCTGCTGGAGACACTGGCACAAGGCAGGCCCACAACAGTTGATTTAAGGCTTCCTGGCGGCTTGTTAATAATACTCAAACTCTGGGTCTGAAACAGAAGAGGGCATAACTGGACTCACAAAACACCAAACCAAATGTATGCTGTACAGAGGGAATGAGAGATAGGTTTATAGCCTTTGAAATCCCAGAGAAAATATGACTTAGTTATTAGTCAATAGTGACCGTGAGCCAATGAGCACAACTACTTCACTGTCTACCTCGGTGCACCAGGCAGTGACAATATGTCACCTTCATGGGTCTCTTCCAAGACCACTGGCTCCCACTCCAGGCTCTTTCAGGTGGCTGGTTAGTCTTCCTGTTCCGCCTGTCTTCTACTCCAAAGTCTGCCTCTTAGGTCCATCTGTGCTACAAGTACATCCTCTCCTTTTTTCCTGCTTATCTATTCAATGTTTTCCTGCTTCCTGTCCTTTTTTTCCCTTATGGTTCTAGCATGTCTAGTGATTCTATTTTTCTTTCTGGTATTCCAATTTTTCTTTTTGTCTCCTCCCTCTTTGTCCAAGCTGTTTCAGTTGGTTTTGTAGTTTGGCCCTTACATTTAGGTCTTTGATGCATGTTGAGTTGACTTTTGTATATGGTGTGAGCTAAAAGTTCAATTCATTCTTTTGCATGTGGCTATCCAGTTGTCCCAGAACAATCTGTTGAAGAGACAATTATTTCCCCAGTGGGTGGTCTTGGCACCACTGCCAAAAATCAATTGACCCTAGATGCATGGATTTATTTCTGGACTCTCAACTCTATTCCATTGATCTGTGTCTTTATGCCAGTACCATAATGCTTGGATTACTGTAGCTTTGTAGTAAGTCTTGAAATTAGGAAGTGAGTCCTCCAACTTTTTATTTTTTGAGTTGGAGTCTCACTCTGTCGCCCAGGCTGCAGTGCAGCGGCACACAAGCTCACAGCAACCCCAGAATCGACCTGCTGGGCTCAGGCAATCCTTCTGCCTTAGCCTTCCAAGAAACCAGAACTACGGGTGCATGCTACCATGCCCGGCTAGTTTTTTTATTTATTGTAGAGACAAGGTCTTGGCAAGTTGCCCAGGCCAGTCTTGAACCTGCGGGCTCAATCCACTCGCCTCGGCCTCCCAAAGTGCTGGGATTGCAGGCTGAGACACCGAGCCCAGCCAACTCTTTTTTTTTTTGAGTTGGAATCTCATGCCATTCAGGCTGGAGTGCAGCGGTATGCTTACGGCCACCCCAGCCTCTACCTGCTGTGTTCAAGTGATCCTTCCGCCTCAGCCTTCCAAGTAGCTGGAATTACAGGTGTGCGCTTCCACACCTGGCTAATGTTTTTATTTATTGTAGAGACGAGGCCTTGCCATGTTGCCCAGGCTGGTCTCGAACCCATAGGCTCAGGCAATTCTCTTGCCTCCGCCTCCCAAAGTGCTGGGATCACAGGTGTGAACCACCATGCCCACCTTCAATTTTTTTCTTCTTCAAGATTGTTTTGGCTATTCCAGGTCCCTTGCATTTCTATGATTTTAAAATTTTTAAATCAAGCCGGGCGTGGTGGCTCAGCCTGTAATTCCACGCCTTTGGGAGGCTGAGGTGAGTGAACTGCCTGAGCCCGCAGGTTCGAGACCCACCTGGGCAGCGAGACCTCATTTCTACAATAAATCAAAAAATCAGCCGGGTGTGGTAGCGCGTGCCTGTAATTCCAGCTACTTGGAAGGCTGAGGCAGAAGGATCGCCAGAGCCCAGCAGGTCGAGGCTGCGGTGGCCGGGAGCGGCCACTGCACTCCAGTCTAGGCGACAGAGTGAGACTCCAACTGAAAAGAAAAGAAAAAAATTTTAGTCAGTTTGTCAATTTCTACAGAAAAGGCATCTGGGTTAGTTGGTTTTAATGTCTATTTATTAAGAGGTAATCGCCTGACTAGGCTGACAGAATGACCATAACAGGACTAGCAACTTTACTCTTACTCTCTGGAGTTTAGAGGCAAGTTTGTAAGAGTTCATTATTTTTGTCTAAGATTGCTTGACACCAGAGCAATAATGAGAGCAGAGAGCACTGGGAAAAGTTTGAGTCTGGAGGTCAGACACAAGCTATGTTTATGACCCACCGTGGCTATTCAGGTACCACATGACCTTGGATGAACTGTTGACCCTCTACACACTCCAGTACCTATGACAAGGATGGGGCATGCCCATCCCCACTGCAGTGTGTGGAAACAGAGACAATGCCATTGCAGAGAACTGCGAGATGGCAGGCTCCTTCACACACTCCTCTCCTTTGGGGCACTTCAAGAACTGATGCTACCACATTTATAGGGCTCATTGGCCTGGAAACGGACTGTGGGAGCCCTGTGGGCATAGTGACCAGTTCTCAACTGCTTGCCTGCAGCTGTAAAGGGAACTCTCTGCAGTGAAGCAAGAAGAGGGTGGGCACCCAGGCACCTTCCACCCTTCTGGAGCCCTGCCCACCCGACCCATCCTTGCTAGTAATGACATAGGACCTATCTACTCTGCTCCATGCAGGCCCAACTCTGAAGGAAATCAGGCTCCCAAGAGGGAAGAAGGCTGAGAATGGGGACAACAGAAAGGGAGATGAGCCACCAAGCTCTACCCATTACAGCTAAGGATCATCTACCTGACCAGGCCCAACAGCCTCCACGTAGGTCCCAGTCACTCAGCACACACTTACTGAATGCCCACTGTGTACGGGGGTCTATTAGGATGGCATGACAATAAAAGGAAGGAGATAACTTCAACTTCTACCATTCTGGATTACAAGGGCTCTTCCTTGGTCCTCCTAGTCATTTCAAATGTGACCCTTTAAGATTACTCCAGCTTCAGTGTCCTCTTGGAGACTAGATCACTTTGCCTCTCATGCAGTGTCCCCTCAATTACCACTGTGACAGGCAAAAATTCTGTCGGATCTATGCTCCGTCAGCAGGCTGAGAAGCTGAATCCTTGGGACAGAGACAAAAGACAACTGCATGCTAGTGTCTGCAAAAGGAATGGAACAGAACTCTTAAATCTCAGTATGTTGTAGGAGCAGGTATGAAACAGACAGGGTTACAAGCACCTCAGTGTCAAATGTTACAGAATAACATTTCCATTCTCTCATAGCTCACACATAAATCCAGATGAGTACATCTCTATATCAACTGGAAAGAAATGAACAGCCAAATAGCCAGAGTTCCCACAGTACCATCTGCTTCTCTCTTGCTGACAAATCCAATGTGAAATCTGTGCCTCAAAGGGAAAGGACAGGTGGACAAAGGTACACCTCAGTCCCTAAAGTTATTTCACCCACTCTGGGAGAGGGAGACACCAGCAACAGTACAAATCCAAGTCAGGTTCTTTGAAAGCTCATGTCACTTGTTTATAATAGGATATCATGTCATCCAGAGTTTGGAAAGTGACTGTGGGGGCTTGTGGTGGGCTGTCAGGGGCAGGAGTAAAGGACACATGTGCAGAGCTGGGTCCATGGCTCTGGCCAGAGCACTGTCCTGGGTCACTCTGTGCTGGGCCAGGCCTGCTCCAAGCTTGGCTGTTACAAGAACCAGTTCTCTTCTGACCCACAAAGTAATCTGACGGTGGGGCAAACTCAGGATCTCTCTCAGCCCGGAGGTCTGACTGCCGCTTCGACCAGTATCCAAAGGAAAATTCTAGTGAAAATCAGGAAGAGAATTATTAGAATGGACTAATGAATCAGTTGAGTTTCTTGTTAGTTTTTCAGATGTTATATATATTAATATTTCTTAAAAGCCACCTCAAATTCCCTGGAGAACAAGGATGGCAACCACAGAACTACCATCCGAGGTGTAAGTAATACCCACAGAGTGTAAGAAACCAGGTTAAGAAAAGGGAGTGACTACTCTCAGGCAGCCTCACAAGCAAGGCTCTGTGGAATAGGCTGGCAGGTTCTGGAGACATTGCCAAAAAGGCAGTAAAATTACATCAGAGAGAAATAAATACAGAAAAATCATCCGCTTGACATGAGATTACAGGTACTTCACACTGAAATATGAAAGTTTGTCCTTTACTGACTTCTGGAAGACACAAAAGGGACCTGTCCAAATCTAATTTGGTGTTTCACCTCTATTTCTAACAGTAATTCTTGCATTTCTCCTACTTTACCTTGTATCTTGGATCTTTCGGCAGGAACAGCAGAAGCTAATGTTCTACTGAAATGAGCCCTTTCTTTTTTTTTTGAGTTGGAGTCTCACTCTGTTGCCCAGGTTAGTGTGCAGTAGCATGCTCAAGGCCATTCCAGTGTCAACCGGCTGGGCCCCGGTAATCCTTCGACCTCAGCCTTCCAAGCAGCCAGAACTATAGGTACGTGCTACCACGGCCAGCTAATTTTTAAAAATTTATTGTAGAGATGAGGTCTCACCAAGCTGCCCAGGTTGGTCTCGAACCCATGGCTCAGGCAATCCACTCGCCTCAGCCTCCCAAATTGCTGGGATTACAGGCTGAGCCATCAAGCCCGGCCAAGCTCTTTCAAAGAGGCATCAACTACTACCTTCCAAAGAGAGGCTGCTGTAGGGACCATGTGAATTTACAGAAAAAATGTGCAGGAAAATGTGCATACCCCAGTGGAACTATATGTGAATCCAGTAACACACTGGCACGCAAACCATTTCCAGCTGAACATAAAAGAGACTGCTAAAATCACAGAGTATATTAGAACACCAAACCTTCACCATACTCTCAAAGGAGAACTGAGGAATAGCGTTCTAAAGCTATAAAACTACATGAGGGCAGGACAAATTTAAAACTTCCCCCAAGTGCTGAAAAAAAATCCTTTTCGATTCCCTGGAGAGGTCTTACACCCTGGAGCCCAAACCTTACCTTTTCCTCGGTCCCACTCCCGGACATGTGGCACTCCAGGCCTGGTGTCCTTCCTCTCTTGGACAATGACTTCTACTTTGCTACTCTGGGCAGGAGCATGAGGAGTCGGCACAGCCTCTGGTTCTGGTGGCAAAGGCCCAATAACATCTCCATCTATTTTTGGTAAGGGAATAAGACATCATTATAATAAAGACTACAGCAATTTTGAAAAATATAGAACATGTTAATCCTGAAAGTAAAAGTAACAATCCGTATTAATGGAGCACTATCATGTCCCAGGAAGAAAGTGAAATATTTTGTATACAATACGTCATTTAACTTTTGCAACAACCCTAATAAATTCATTATTTCCATGTTATCTCCATCTTATAGATGAAAATTAAGCTAAGACATGATACAATGGTAGAAAGTGGCAAGAGCCAGGATTCAAAACCCAGGCTGGAAAGATTTAAAGTCTTTGCCCTCCTCACTATGCACTCTGCTTCCCCAAACTAACATCAAAGGACCAGGAATCCCCAAATCTACTCAACTAAAGTAACAATCTCAGTGAAAAAACAGGAGGCAGGGTTATGAAGAGCTGGAGCTTGGTGTCGGCTATTCAATTTTGGCCACATTTTATTTTATTTATTTATTTATTTATTTATTTATTTGAGTTGGAGTCTCACTTTGGCCACATTTTATTTTACTTATTTATTTATTTATTTATTTGAGTTGGAGTCTCACTCTGTCGCCCAGACTGGAGTGCAGTCT